TTTGAATGATTCTGCGTTTAATTCCAAAGCCAGTGTGTTACATCAGTCCACTATTAAAATGGTTGCTACATCCTACATAGCCAAGTGAAGTGACAAATTTCTAGGTAAAACACCATTAGAAAAAAATACTGTTACTATTGATGTTGACTGACCACATAAGCCAGTGTTGAGCTGAGCAGAATTTGAACGCTTTATGTCATTTTGCAAAGCATCAGGATCAATGCTGCTGGTGAATAGGGTGCAGGGACCAATGACACGTCACCCAGGGCTGGCTCTGCTGTGTCCAGCTAAATGTAGACCAACTCTTTTTTTTTTCACCAGGTTTGAGATTGATGTGGAAGAGAAAGTACACTTACAAGAAAGTGTAACAATTCTTTACAACTGCTCTCCATGTGACTTATATGCTCATTTTGCTAGTCTGGGTTTTAGGAAGCTAGCTCAGAGCTTTCACAATAGGTCTTTTCCCTAAGAAGCAGTTGACCCACGTATGGAATGGGAGGAGAAGGTGAAAAACAGAGAGGAGAAGGAAATCATAACCTGTAGGACATCCATCAAGTGATTTAAGGTTATACATATGACTGCAATTTTGTCTTTGAAAGATGAATCAAGTAATGATGCAGACACTCTTTCCTGTCAAGACACTTCTTTTACTCTCAAGCCTGTCGATAGCTTAAAAGTTATGTTGTGTCTTCTCCAGGGTTAGTGCAGCAGTTTCCCATATGATTTCATATTCAGTTCATATTTGTGGAAGCAGGAGGGGCTCTTTACTTTACTTGATAAATGGTAACATCTGGCTTTGTGATGGGCCATCACCAGCATGTTTAAAGAGCTGCTGACGCTTCAGGGAAAATTTGGTAAAACATTTCATTTAGAGGCAACTCTAGTTATTTATTCTATTTTCTGCATTCCTCATTCTCTGCTTTGTACTAGAAACATTTGCATGCAGAGAGACTGAATCTCCTAAAGAGTTCATCTTCACAAAACATTTTTATATCTGATGTCCTAATCACTATGTTTGTGTCACAGCAATCATATCCATAGCAACAACTTCTGATGTCATAGCAAATGAGAGTTTCAGGGAAGGGTAATAAATAAGGCATAATGGTATTAAATGACCAAACTCCATATTAAACTACAGCAGCATAAATTTGTTAGAAGTCTGTAGCAGAAAACAGAATTGTGCTACTGCTTTTCTATAACCACACACGGGACTTAACCTTTCCTTTTGATCACAGAAATACAATGAACTAAACATTCCTGAAAATCGGATCATTTATATACATGCTTTAACCTGTCTGTATAGATGCCCTTAGCAATTGGAAAAAAATGAATAGGCAGTTTCAGAATCACATTTTTGCACATTCTCATGGGAAGCTTCTTTCCTTAAAGTAGCAGCAGGTCAAATATAGCCAGAGGTGTAGACACTGTTCAAACAAGGCTTTTCCAAAAGCCAAAAGAATTTTTTTACTGTTATATAGATTCTTGAAGTTTTGTGCAGTTTTGTGCTTATTATTTGTAAGCAAATAAGTATTTCCCATTTCCTAAGCATGCGTTAAGTGGTTTAACCATAGCTGGGAATCATAAATAATTAGCAGCAGGAATACAAGGATGGAGATCTGGCCCAAGCTTTAGAATGGTGACATATTTATTTACTATGTGTAAATACTAAAACATTCTTATTTCATGCATAAAGGAAAACGTAGCAAAGATCTTAACCTCTATGATGTTAACTCTGTACTTCATCCATCAAAAAGGCATGGAGCACAAATTATTCGTTTATGTCACTGCTAGACAACATCAGCTGCAGAAAGTCCAACTCTGAAGATTGCATTAATATATCCAGAGATATAAGGGCAGGCGAAGACAGGCTAAGAAAATTGGAAATGTTCAATCTGAAGAAGAGAAGGCCTACAAGGATGCTGGAGAGGGACTCTTCTTCAGGGACTGTAGTGATAGGACAAAGGGCAATGGGTTTAAACTTAAACACAAGAAGTTCAGGTTAGATATCAGGAAGAAGGTCTGTGAAGGTGGTGAGGCAATGGAAGAGGTTGCCCAAAGAAGTGGTAAATGCTCCATTCCTGGCAGTGTTTAAGGCCAGGCTGGACAGAGCCTTGGGCAACATGGTCTAGTGCAAGGTGTCCCTGCCTATGCCAGGGGAGTTGGAACTAGATGATCTTTAAGGTCCTTTCCAACCCTGACTATTCTATGATTCTGTGATTCTATGATTCTATGAACTAAGGCTCTTCACAATGAAGAATGAAGCTGTGAACTTTTACATACTTCCCAAGAGCTGCTGTACAGACAGAAAAGTTGTTGACAAGTCCTTCACTTGGAGCATTCATTCCTCACCCTGTCATGGCACAGGTAACAGAGTCCATGGAGATGACATAAGGCGCAGTTCTTGCCTAACCTTTATGTTCCATAGCCTCTCCCAGAGAAAAAAAAAACACAACTTCAGCCATGGGAGACAACTTGTCACCATTTTCTAAAAACAAATACTACTGCAGCAGAGCTTTGACTGAACTTTGACATATACTGCAGCTCTTTTCATCTCTGCTCCCAGCCACACTGTCTGGAAATGCCCACTTAACGCACTTATATATGCTATTATAATGTGCAAAAACTTGGAAATTAAAAGAAGGTAAATAGTGTATCTTTATGCAATGTTACATTTTCTAGCAGTGCAATTGAAACATCAATCATTCTATTCTGGCTGCATTGATCGGTAATTTTCATTTTGTTATTTCAAATAAAGCTTCTCTCCACAACAGAAACGGCAGCACTTTCCAGCATATAACTTCAGTTCATTTTAGCTTCATGACTTAAAGATCTTCTCTTCACATCATTCTTTCACATCTTTTAAGTGGTAATTCCACTTTTCCAATTAGATTACTGGAACACGCCAAGTAAACAGGCACCTTTTCCTAGAGCTATAACATGTAACTAACAAGCAAAGTTAGTGCAAACAATACCTTGGACTCAGTCCAATTGTAGCTTGTACATTTAGAATTTGGATCTTTACATATATATATACACACACAGAGGAAGAGTTTATATGTGTGTATATATATATGAGTGTATATAAAGATACATATACATAAAAATAAAAGTAAACCTTAGACAGTTCTAATAAGATGCTCAACTTAAACAAAATTCAAGAAAAAAGGCTTCTGAAAGAATAAAAATATTAGGGAAATTAAAAAAAAAAAATACTGTAAGTGGCTGAAGCCAGGAGACAGGCACGTTCAAATCCTGATCTACCACATAGCCCCAGGCAAGTCACTTCTCTCTGTACCTCAGTTTGCCCATCAGTAAAATGGGGATCATAACCACTTAATTCAACAGGCTGTTGCAATGACATACAAATTCATTGCTCATTCAAAAGCTGTGAGCTCTTGTAAGGAAGGGCTCCTTTGAGATACAAAGAATTCATAGTGGGAGATTATTAAAGTAGGAGTAAAGCTCATTTTCACTACTTCTGACCAACAGCTTTCTGTGATAGCAGGTTTGTTTTAGACATAAAAGCAGAAAATTCTTACAAAACAGACTAGAAGAATGACTGAAGGAGAGGGAGCAAGAGTGACATTGTCAGGACTGGTATTCTGGCTTTTAAATTCATTCTTATAGTATTTAAATACCATGTACCAAATACTTAGAATCATAGAATCATAGAATAGTTAGGGTTGGAAAGGACCTTAAGTTCATCAAGTTCCAACCCCCTGCCATGGGCAGGGACACCTCACACTAAATCATATCACCAAAGGCCTCGTCAGGCACATCAGAAATATTCAAAACAAAGAAACTTTAGAGAAGCTTTACAAATGATGGCAAAGTCAAATTGAGAAACCAACCAAGACAATATCACCCAAAAGCTCCATGAATCCTGCATAAGAGATCATGTTACTAAAGGAGTTATAATATATATGCAACATTTTGCATATTATTTATGTTAGCAGCACTTTGGCATGCAACCATGATTCAGGCCATGCAAGGCTGGGTGCTGTCCTTAGCATGCAGAGTGAAGAAAACATTGCTGAAAAGCCATATTTGATGTGGACAAAGGGAAGGAAAAGGAGAGGCAAGGCGTGACTAGTGAGTCATCACCCCATAGCAGAAGCTAGGCAGTTTTGTCATCCAAGCCATTTGCATAGTAGGCCATACATGCACATTCATATGCTCTTCAAGAATGGGCTCTGACAATGGCTGTGCACTCTTTTATGTTAATTTTCAACAGTTATTCACAAAATAAAAGTTCAGTTGAAAAAAAAAAAAAAAAAAAAGGTTGCAAGCTATACATTTATGGAAAAACCAACAGTCCAAACACAAATCATCAGCTTACATGTTTCTTAAGACCTGAATTAATACGTGTACCATTGTGTCTTCACAAAGCAAATCCACATAAACACATGATAAATCTGGTCCTTTGAGGCCAGAGTTCAGCAGCTGGTGACAAGCAAGACAATGCACTGTCTGGGAGAGTGGCAGCCATAGTAGGGACGACAGCCACCCAGCCTTTGAGTCTGTGTGATCTGTTCAGGTCATATACTCCACAGGGTCTACTGGGACTTCTCAGCATCAAACTGATGCCACCACTACCACCATTCACTACTAGTGTATGTGACAAGGAGCAGCTCCAGGATCAGACTCCCACTCACCCAAGCCCATGACAGCCAAAATGTCCCAGAAATGTAATAGCATTGTGATAGAAGACAATAACAGGATCCCAGGGGTGTAAGACTCTCCATCTCTCCTTCTCACTGTGCCACCAGCAGTTCTCGAACACAAGCTGCTAGCTCAAAACCAGCAAGCACAAAAAACCCTGACTTCCTGTAAGGAACTGTCACCTACCTTTGAAGTTTTCCTCAAAGTAATGGCATACTTCTATTAATCCCCTTTAAAAGTATGATAACAGAGAAAAGTATGATAATAGATTTGTGGGAGTTTAAAGTATCATTGTTATAAGAAAACAGGAATAAGGAGGATGACCTTTAAACTGCGGCAGGAGTTTCCTCCCAGTCACAGTCATGAGAGGAGGCCAGAACAAGTTATTCAACTCCTTAGAAGACACCTAGAGGAAAGTTTTAACTTTATTAGTAGTGCTAGCACCTCTAGTCCCTCACTACCATGGTGAGGAACAAGGCCTGCAGGGCAGAGGTCCCTTCCCTTCCTCAACAGGGCATGGCAGGGCAGCTGAGGGGAAGCACCAAAGAGGCTGGCGGATAATTCATCCCCTCCCATGGCTGAGGCAGAAGCAGGAATGCAGCAGCAGTGACTCAGGCCTGGGCCAATCCTTTGTACCACTGTTGTCACTGAGTACACACACAACACTCACCACACAGCCCACTACCGCTGCAAGCCCAACCATGCAACAGCCTCTTCTTCCTGTGCTTCCTGGCTGCTGTGGCACCTGTCTGCCATTTTAACTAAGGAGCTTCTGCTCCAGGCTCTGTGTTCTGATTACAGCCTGTCAATAGCAGATAACTGAGGTAAGAGAACAGAAACTTGACCCATTTTATGGGGTTTTCCTATTACATGCTGAACCTAAATAGGTTTAAAAGAAAACTCAACATATCCAGGTAAGGAAAGCACTGTTTATGCCCATTAAAGCTGTACCACATTACTCCTGGTCACAGAAGAGTCCAGCCAAGGACTAAATGTTTCCCACTTTTCCTTTCTTTCAAAATTTGGCTTACCCAAAGGTAGGCAAATACAATTAGTGGCTTGTATGAACCAGATGGATTCTTTCCTTCTTTTGTGCAAAATTTCATTCAGTTTAGCCATAGCTAGCATTATCCAAATGACAAAATCTACTGTTTCCCTCAGCTGAAACAATAATAAATGTTTATTTACTTAACACAGGAAGAAACTGGGGATATGGAGAAGCTGACTAGTTTTGCAGGCTACACCACAATTTTACTGAAAGAACTTGAAGAAACCAGTTCCTCTGCAACCAGTACTTTTAATGACACTACATACATTCATCATTTTTTTAAATCTAAACTTTGGTATATATGAAATACTGAAATAAACTGAGCCAAAAGACTAATTAAATATGGCCACAGCTACCAATGGGCCTTTTTTATTTGTTTTCCTTCCCCTCCCCCCCCCCCGCCATCTCTGCAGTGTCTGCCTGCAATGATTAAGTTGAAAATGAAGTTCCGACTACTAATTTAATTGAAAATAGCAGATTATATTGTGACAGTGATCTCTCTCTCCCTCATACATCTCCAGTAACAGTGATGGCACACTGCTTTCCCTGCTCAGCTATCTCTGAGCCCAGTGGCACAAAGCATAGCAGCTGACCTACACTGAGGTGGGTGGGAGGGAGGCAGTGTCTCCTCTTGCACGTCAAGAAAGGAGAGAAGAAGAGGTCTAAATATGTAATTATCAAGCCTAGAATCATCACTGTGCTGGTGAAAATACTGAGGAGACATTGACTTTAACTTGTCCTGCTTTAACGTGGCGGAGGTTGGTTTGCCTGCTAGGACGCACCTTGAAGCCATGGCAACAGGGGATTGATGTAATGCTGTATGCATCTGTATAGGTATATTTTTTTTCATGTCAGCCACATAAACCTGCTCTTAACCTCCCATGTATTCTAGCAGTTTCATACTGGGCAGGAGGTGGACAGTGCAGGAGAATTAATTGCAGGAAATATCTGTTATCCATTGAGACAGAGGGCTAAGGATAACTTGCCTTTCAAGAGCACAAAGAAGGAAAGATAAACCTGGGCTTCAGTCATCTCTGCTTCTACCACCTAAACTTTATGGTCTTCTCTAACAATTGTAGCCATTTCTCTGACTATCTGCTTGCCTAACGATTGTTCTCATTTTGTGATGTTTTATTTTTTCTCCCTTGGTGAAGCTCCTTTTATGTCCATACACAGCAGAAATCTGAAAGCCACTCCAAATGCTCTGATTTTAAATAAATACTTCACGTATACAAGCTGTGAAAGTTCTAATCCAAATAATCACTGACGTTTATGACTTATAGCCAAAGATAAATTTGTTCAATTGTTCTTATTGCACCTCCTGCTTTATTGGGATGGTCTATGGACTATTTTTTCAATACTCAGTGCAGGAGATGACCCTCCCAGCCAAAAGAATGTAAGCGTTTGAAGTAAAAATGTCCATGTGTGTATTTACCTATACAGATCATACACATGTACAAAAATATAAAGATATTTTATGAATGGTAATAATATAGTTTGTGTTTGCATTTGAGTCAGCTGAGGTTTTGGGGGTTTTTTTTGCATATTTTGGGTTAGTTTATTTGATTCCACTATTTAAGTATTCTTTTACAGAAATGTCTTTCTGGTTACTTTTTTATTCATGTTGAGCCACCTATAGACTTCTTTCCTCCTAAGACAAAATACTTGAACAATGTTTTCTACTGTTTCTGAAAGGAAGAAAATTATAGCCATCCCAATCCTGCTTTGATGTTAGCAAACTGACACCACCAAGAACAATGACAGAATAAGAAACTGAAAAAAAAAAAAAGACTGCTTCTAAGTTTTTTCTTAAAGAATTTTCATTTGATTTTGGAAAATGTAAGGACTAACCAGCTTATTTCTTCTAGAACACAATTTATATTTATTTCCAGTAGGTACCATCTAACTTAAGCTTTAAATGAAGCTTCAGAAGCATTTAGGTATTCTTAGCAAATCAAGGTTCAGAGTGATGCATAATCACTCCAACTGGAAGTTGTTTGAGTCAACAAATATGTTTGAGTCAACCAAGGCCTCAAATAACAGGAGCTATGGTGGGCATCCAAAGCACAACCACAATAGCAAACTTAATTAAAGTGTCTTTTAGGAAAATACCCACTGAAAGACAGTTGCTGAACTGTTTGCCTCTTCCTCCCCCCTTCTTTTCAGTCTCACAAGAATGATGGACTCCTTTCACTCCCAAGATATACAGAATGGAAAGTTGACAAGACAGCCTGACCCATTCATGAAAAGTTTGAGAAGTGTCCCTGCTGTAAAATGCCCCCAATTTTCCTCACACCTCTTCCTAACCAATTTAGTTTACTCCACTTCTATGCATAGAAATATACTTTGCCCTTTATTCACCCAATTTCAAGGTTATACTCAAACATGTACTGGAAGATAAAAGCTTTAAATAATGTACATTCTCTCATTGTCCTTTTCATTGAGATCACAGGTGCATGAACTCGTCCCCCAGCACAAAAAGCTGTTGTCATGGAAACAGCTCAGGATGCCAACTTGACAACAACTGACATTCAAACCAGGAGGGACACCTTGTCTTCTGCCCTCACCCACCAAACCAGAGCATTTCAGTGGGGCCAAATCTGCAGTATTTCTTCCTTGCCAGGTCTGAGATGTACACTGCTGTGAGGAGGAGGTACAGTTGGCTCCAGCCCCTCACTCCACATACAGTACCCCAAAAATTGCCTTGGGAAAACAGCTACACTACAGCCTAATCAAGTGAGATAAGAAGAGTATCCTTTGCTTTCAGTGCTTGGCAAATGTCGTAAGGGAAGAGGAGGTCAGCTTTCTTAATGGTTGTACCAGATCTTTCACAATGCCATTAAATCATTCTGTTTCTTCCAGAGTGCCAATGGAATACTGCTTTCCTACAGGAAAATCACTTCAGCACTATGCATTTCAGTTTCCTGCTTGTAAAATGGGGATAACCATACCTGCGGTAAGCCTCAGATAAAGAGCTTTTAGTAATCAGTATTGTAATCCATTTTTTCTTACTCTATTTCCATCGATATTGATAGTTTGTGGTAATAATTCACCATTTAGCTCTTCTAATTGAGTAATAAATAGTCCAGGAAGCAGGACTAGGCAAACATGCTGAAAAAGTAGATGCACATTCCAGAGAGATATAAACTCAAAGGAAAGGTGTCTTATTTATTTATATTTTTTCCCCCAGGAGATTTAACTGGAAAGTGCTATCTAGTGAAAATACACTCCTTGCCTTCCTCCATACCTAAGGATTGAAGAACATGTGAAATTGACAAATTTAAAGGAAAAAAATATTTTGCATATTAGTATATATATATAAACATATATATAAATAAATATGTATAAATGTGGTTGGTGGAAGGGAAACAAAATACACACAACAAGCATTTGCTTTCCTGTAGGCTTGTACACATTCTCATGCCTGAATGCTGTCTTGTGATCTCCACATAACCTTTGAAACATAAGTGCATATTTCACCCTTGCAGACTAGCACAACCATTTTTTTGTCATTCCAATTTCATTTCCAGTGCGGTGTGGACTGCGGGCTCAGCAGTCACTGGAGTCTGAAGTGACTCTTGGGACCTCCTCACTGTTCTATATGCAAATGGCCCTGCACCTGGGCATCCGAGCGGGCTTGCCGACAGTTTAGTTATGCAAATCTGATTGATCGAGAGCATATTGCAGAAGAACACACGCAGGCCTGAGACACTGGCAGCTATATTTCACTGGCTAAATTCCCAAAGAAAAAAAAGTTAAATGCCAAGCATTTTGATGCATATTCCTATCAAGCCCTGAAGTGCACTAGCATTTATTTCGGTATGTTTTCAACACTTTGCTTAAATGTTGTTAATGTAATTTCTTGTGCCATTGCTGAATTTACAGAAGGGTTTGTTTTCCCTTACTTTTTTTTTTTTAAAGCCACAAACAAAAAAAAAAAAAAAAACAAAATCCCCAAAAGAGAGTTACTGTGATGTCACAACACAATAGGTCTGTCAGTTTATTTAAAATAATCATTTCAGGCAAATGGAGCAAATGCAGCGTTAAAATATAATTAGGTCCTACAGTATAGAGGAGTGCAAAGAAACTGGTGTACTAGCACAAGTTGCCAACTATTCTTTCCGCAACAAAAGCTAAAACAAACAGTGGGAATGTAGATTACATACTGTCACACAACGTCCAAAGCACTTTTCTATTTACCAAACACTTTGTATAAAATGGCAGAGAAGGAAAAGAAAAATAGAAAAAAGTAGAATCGTCTGGGATCAATTTAAAAGAATAAATTATTTTTTATATTTTTAAAAAAGGAGAAAATAAAGAAAAAGGACTATCCACCTATGTGTGAGCATGTGGAAACCTCTAATATAGAGCATGCTTCAGGCATCAAGTTAATCTCGGTTTATTGCATGCAACTGATTTATCTTCATTTATAAATGAGTGGTGAGCCCTGGTTCTAATATTTGTGTTTCCTCTAGTTGTGTTTATGTACATTAATGCCTTGGAGAACTATTTATTGTGTTGAAATAACACGATTATTTTCTTTTCCCCCAGTTTTTCCAAAAACAGATGCAGACTAAGACTATTTCAATGCTTGGACACTGATAAAGCCACTGGGAAGAGACATAATTTCAGCCTTTTAAATCACTTATTTTATCTTTTATAAGTCACTTTTTAACAGAGGTTTTCAGCAACAATAGTATTCATCAGTATGAATTGAGACATTTTTTTATTAATTTGAAGTTGGAGGTTTTGTTTGTCTGTTTGTTTGTTTGTTTGTTTTAATAGTCTTTTCTCAGACAAGTTTTGGGGTTGATAGTTCCATAGCTAAGGATTTACATTTGCATGGATCCCAAAGCAGAGAAGAGAGAAATGTCTCAGGTGGTATGCAGAAAATGACTAATGCAACAGAGTCTGATCTCAGTTGGAGCCACAAAGCATTCTATAATACAAATTGTTATAACAGGCCACTAGCAAACACCTAATAGTCTGGTCTTACAGAATATGAATTCACAAAAACTCTCATGATACTTCTGTCATGATTCAGTGCACAAAGTTTTATGCTGAGAACATTTTTACATGAGCAGCAATTAAAATACGTATCACTGCCTTTAACTTGAAAAAAGTATCTTACTTTTAATCTCAGTGTTAAAATTGTCATAATCTCAAAAGGACCATGCAAAGAACAAAATTTCTCACAGAAGATTGATCCAAAACACTCTTAGAAACCCCTCTGAAAAATACAGTTCTAGAAAGAAGCCCAACTTATCTAAAGGACTTGAAAAGCAAAGCAACCCTGCTGTAGCAATGTTAGAGCACAATTTATTGAAGAGAAAACATTTCCCTGCACGTTAAGTTGTATTGCCTTTGGCACAGATTCTTCAGCTGTAAATTTGTCCAAGGAATGACATACAGTACACATCAGAGAAGTAATGAAGGAAAGAGGCTTAGATGGGCACTTTGCAGCTGACAGGGAGCCGTTATTGAGCCTTGTCTGCTGTAGTTAGCAAAACAAAAAAGAACACAGAGAGAACATCTTTGTCTGTCCCCAACCCCTGCTACCCTCTCTTTCAAACAGAAAAATAAATAAATAATAAGAAAATAGCCATCTGACAAGCAAAGCCTAGCCAGAGGGTCAAAAATGAAGATCCTGGGAAAGGTCAAGTTTAATCTCTACCCACGATGCCCTCACAACAGCTGACTAACAAAAGGGGCTCAGCACTGTGACTGACAGAATTCTTAATTGTATCCACTCATTCATGACAATTTGATTAAAATATTACGCCAAAGTCTCACCCCCTGTTTGCTTCGATCCTCCAAATCTAATTTTGAATTTTCAGAAAGAAGATTACCTCCACAAGCATGACTGGGATGCTATTAACTTCTACTTAATCTTTATTACTGATGTGAATTTAACATATGTATGGCTTCGTCTCGCTCCTGTTGTTTTCTCTCTAAAGTAACATCTAGGCAATATACAAGTGGCGGACATTAATTTTCACTTTGATATTCTGTCATACCAAAGCTCATACTTTCATATGAAAACTTAAAGATGCACCATCTTAATAGCATGGCACAACTAGATTGCATTAAACAAAATAAAAACCCCAAATACACACTAGCTCCCACCAGCCCACACCAAGAAAAGAACAAAACCCTGCTGAGCAGACTTCAAAGTATTATAACTTTTCACTGTTATCTCCAGCTATCCCCTTCATTACAGTAGCTTTTCCAAGGCCTCACAAGAACAAGTAAATTCTAGTTAATGTCAATAATGCAATTGTGAAGAAGTCAAGCAGGCAGTTCAAATTTCTAATCAATATGGACTAGTCCCAAATTTATGAAACTAGTAATTGAATATGGCCATTGTTACCTGTGTCCTAATTCTCAAAAGATAATTGAATAAAAGATGTTATTTCATTCTCAAATATTCTTATTCCCTCACTTCATTTCTCTCACAAGTAACACAAAGAGAATTAACATCACCAGCTCAATTGTGTTTACGAGAGTATTCACAAATGTATTGAACATGAAACATTACTAATAAAACTGACTGGGTTGGAAAAAATCCACTGAAAAATATTATTTTTTTTTCTTCCTTCTCCCCAAGAGAAAAAAAAAAAAAAGTATTTTTTATTTTGCAAAACTTTTTTTCAGCATTTATGTCCATGTCTACTAATTGTTATTGTAAAAAGAGAAGTAATAAATTAATCTTCCTAAACTCAGACTTGGTGACTTCCAAATTTGCCTGTCTAACTGCTGCTCCCATCAGCAGGAGAGCACTTGTATTTGATTGAGTCTTGGGAGGGGAGTGGGCAGAATATCACTTACAGTCATTTAACATGTTTACTAGTCACAAAGAGTTGTAGAACTACCTTTAGTCTCTCAAATCCCATACCACCTGGACAATGAATGCATGGTAGGCTGATATCTAGAAGTAATCACTGGAAGAGGTTTCTCAGAATTCTTTTCCACATTTCATACACCATTTTGCTCAAATATATATTTGCAGTACTGTTCAGATTTTTTTTTTACAAGGAAAATAATCCGTATCTCTGTACAGAAACCTCACTCATCAGCTCTCAGGCCCAGAATTATACCCACCCTCAAGGTATTTAAGATGCTTCTACCACCGCTGTATATAGGAATATACACATATTCTCTCTAGTCTGTTCTTTCTGTTTCTAGCAATGTAGTGATGCTCAAGAGCCTCAGGTTAGAAAAATAGCAGCATAATAAAGAACATCCATGTCCTTCAACACTGTCATTGTTTCCAAATTATTCCCACTGCAGTTGCAGAAGTGTGAAAATTGTCTGAAAAACATGAATCTTACTGGCCCATCCCAGTGAAATCCCTACTTCAACAAATTTCACCAAAGTCTTTATAGGATCGATACATAATGGATGACATCACAGGATGCAAATAAACATTTGATAGATATACAGATCTCATCCTCGAGCAGGACACTCCTCTGACTCCAAATCTCACAATTTGTTTAACACTGAGTATGACATTACAATATAATCAACCCTCAAAGACTTCCCAGTGCCATTGGGAGCACTGGTGTAACACATCGAGCACTTCAGAATCAGCTTTGCTACCCTCCAGCAACTCAGGAAAGGGTGGATAAAAACTTCAAAAAGTGATAGAGCACTCTGATTCCCCCTACAAATGAATACTAGAAGAACTTCTACACTCCCAAAGCGTAAGACAAAAAGCCAGTTTCCTGTTAGGTAGGCAGGAAAGGAAACTCCACATGTGTTTTGTTCTCTAAGGACACAGTGTTTTCTGAGAGTTTTTTGGATAATACAGACCAGAAGCTGAGTAACACAACTGTATTGCAATGGCAGGCTTTGCAGGACAGCTTTAACACATAGGAGCTTCCCTTTGTTTAGTGTTATATTTGCTTATACACAGATCATAGAATCACAGAATCATAGAATCGTTAGGGTTGGAAAGGACCTTAAGATCATCTAGTTCCAACCCCCCTGCCGTGCACAGGGACACCTCACACTAAACCATATCACCCAAGGCCTCATCCAACCTGGCCTTGAACACTGCCAGGGATGGAGCATTCACAACCTCCCTGGGCAACCTATTCCAGTGCCTCACCACCCTAACAGGAAAGAACTTCCTTCTTACATCCAACCTAAACTTCCCCTGTTTAAGTTTTAACCCATTACCCCTTGTCCTATCACTACAGTCCCTAATGAAGAGTCCCTCTCCAGCATCCCTATAGGCCCCCTTCAGATACTGGAAGGCTGCTATGAGGTCTCAATGCAGCCTTCTCTTCTCCAGGCTGAACAGCCCCAACTTCCTTAGCCTGTCTTCATACGGGAGATGCTCCAGTCCCCTGACCATCCTCGTGGCCCTCCTCTGGACTTGTTCCAACAGTTCCATGTCCTTTTTATGTTGAGGACACCAGAACTGCACACAATACTCCAGGTGAGGTCTCACGAGAGCAGAGTAGAGGGGCAGGATCACCTCCTTCGACCTGCTGGTCACACTCCTTTTGATGCAGCCCAGGACACAGTTGGCTTTCTGGGCTGCAAGCACACACTGAAGCCGGCTGATGTTCATTTTCTCATTGACCAGCACCCCCAAGTCCTTCTCCGCAGGGCTGCTCTGAATCTCTTCTCTGCCCAACCTGTAGCTGTGCCTGGGATTGCTCCGACCCAGGTGTAGGACCTTACACTTGGCATGGTTAAACCTCATGAGGCTGGCATCAGCCCACCTCACAAGTGTGTCAAGGTCCCTCTGGATGGCATTCCTTCTCTCCAGGGTATCAACCGAACCACGCAGCTTGGTGTCATCGGCAAACTTGCTGAGGGCGCACTCAATCCCACTGTCCATGTCAGCAACAAAGATGTTAAACAAGACCGGTCCCAACACCGATCCCTGACGGACACCACTCGTTACTGGTCTCCAGTTGGACACTGAGCCATTGACCACAACTCTTTGTGTGCGGCCATCCAGCCAGTTCTTTATCCACCGAGTGGTCCATCCATCAAATTGATGTCTCTCCAATTTAGAGACAAGGATGTCACGTGGGACAGTGTCGAATGCTTTGCACAAGTCCAGGTAGATGACATCAACTGCTCTACCCCTGTCCATCAGTTCTGTAGCCCCATCATAGAAGGCCACCAAATTGGTCAGGCAGGATTTCCCCTTAGTGAAGCCATGCTGGCTGTCACCAAGCACCTTGTTGATTTTCATGTGCCTTAGCATGCCTTCCAGGAGAATCTGCTCCAAGATTTTGCCAGGCACAGAGGTGAGACTGACTGGTCTGTAATTCCCCGGGTCATCCATTTTCCCCTTCTTGAAAATGGGGGTTATATTTCCCTTTTTCCAGTCATCGGGAACTTCACCTGACTGCCAGGATTTCTCAAATATGATGGACAGTGGCTTAGCAACTTCATTTGCCAGCTCCTTCAGGACCCACGGATGGATTTCATCAGGACCCATGGACTTGTGCACATTCGGATTTTTAAGATGGTCTCGAACCAGATCCTCTCCTACAGTGGGTGCAAGGTCTTCATTCTCACAGTCCCTGCATCTGCCTTCCAAGACTTGGGTGGTGTGGTCAGAGCCTTTGCCAGTGAAGACCGAGGCAAAGAAGTCATTCAGAACCTCAGCCTTCTCCAAATCCTGTGTAGCCAGTTCTCCTGAGAGCTTCCTGAGAGGGCCTACATTCTCCCTAGTTTGTTTTTTATTTGCTATGTACCTGTAGAAACCCTTTAATACCTCTAGCTAAGTTTAATTCTAACTGAGCCTTAGCTTTCCTAACCTGGTCCCTGGCTTCTCGGACAACATCCCTGTACTCTTCCCATGCCACCTGTCCTTGCTTCCACTTATTATAAGCCTCTTTTCATTTGAATTTTCCTCAGCAGCTCCTTATCCATCCAAGGAGGTCTCCTGGCCCTCCTGCTGCACTTCCTTCTGGTTGGGATGCAACACTCCTGAGCTTGCAGCAGGTGATCCTTGAATATCAACCAACAGTCTTGGGCCCCCCTGCCCTCTAGGGCTATACCCCATGGAACCTTACTAAGCAGGTTCCTGAAGAGGCCAAAGTCTGCTCTCTTGAAGTCCAGGGCAGTGAGCTTGCTGCACGCTCTTCTCACTGTCCTGAGGATCTCAAATTCAACCATCTCATGATCGCTGCATCCAAGGCTGCCCTGGAGCGTCACATTTCTAACCAGCCCTACCTGTTGGTGAGCACGAGGTCAAGCATGGCACCTCTCCTTGTCGGCTCCTCTATTACTTGCAGAAGGAAGTTGTCTTCTACACAATCGAGGAACCTCCTGGATTGCTTGTGTCGGGCCATACCGTCCTTCCAAGAGATGTCAGGGTGGTTGAAGTCACCCATGAGAACAAGGGCCTGCGAGCGTGAGGCTTTTCCTATCTGTCTATAGAGTGCTTCATCCACAGGTTCTCCTTGATCAGGCGGTCTGTAGCAGATATCACTAGTGGTTCCTTTTTCTTTGCTTGATTTTTAACAATTGCAAAACTCCATCAGTTTTACTAGCTAACTGTTTCTCAGTTTTCAGCAAATAACTGCTGGGAAGATGAGTACTAGCTGTGCAGGCAGAGGACCACAGGAATCTCTCCCATATCACATAAGCAGAGGGACAGTCAGCACACTTAATGACACCAACAAATACTCCAGCTTGCTTTGACTCATTCTCCCCAAGAAAATGCATCCCCAGTCTCCTATCTTAGCTTCCTCCAAAGCATGCACAGGTTTTCTACTGCACAAAATCCAGCATAGCATTTCCACTGCTGCTATGGGATGAAGCTTGGCTCCTTCCATGGAAGCTAGCCACTTCGAGGTTAGCTGCCCACGCTCCTTGATATCAAACTAGAAGCTACTCCAATCTACTGAATACCAATACATGTCCCACATCTCCCGAGACATTTCTTTAGGGATCTGTAGCTAAAGGATCACAAGATATGGTTCTTCCCCCATCCCTGTCTTCCATCCATCTTTCAAAACAAATGGGGGATTTTGCCTTGCTTAGACTTTGGACTTTTCTTCCTCATATATATATATATATATATATATATATATATATATGACTATAACAGGATTTGTGGAATTACATCAACAGAAACACAGATAAATGCAAAGTTGTGCTGAGCCTTGCTGTAGGCAGTAACCACATTAATACATTGCTTGCTCCAACATGCCCAAACTCCCCACAGGGTTTCTATACTGGACAAATAGTAGTTAGAGGAAGAGTAGTCAAAAGGCTAATGGGAATAAATCAATAAGAGATAGCAGCTTGAAGAAATTAAACCCTAAATAAGAAGGCAGAGCATCCTCCTGTTTGGTCCACAGGAACAGAGTGGAAGCTGAATATACCAGGGTTTTAAAGTTTCCACATGAGTATTTCTAAATAGCCATGCCAGGACTTTTAAAAATTTCTTTTCACCACTGTACACACAGAAAAACTGCACTTATTTTCCAAACTGGAGGGGAACATCACCTCTCTTTCTATACCTAGAGGTTACATGCACCTATGGAAAGACTCTGAGATGTTAACTCAGTTATGGAGTTTACTTGGAACAAGGAAATAAAAATTAAACAAAC